TATTATTATTATTATTATTATTATTATTACTATTATTATTATTATTATTATTATTATTATTATTATTATTATTATTATTATTATTATTATTGCTATTATTATTATTATTATTATTATTATTATTATTATTATTATTATTATTATTATTATTGTTGTTGTTGTTGTTGTTGTTGTTGTTGTTGTTGTTGTTGTTGTTGTTGTTATTATTATTATCATCATCATCATCATCATTATTATTAATGTTTTGATTTAAATTGTTAAAACTAGTTAAGTGATTTAGCCATGGTTAGCTTGCTAATAAGTGAAATATTAGGCGCCATCAAATTCCAGAAGGCAGGATTTTGGGTCATGACAAGTTGGTATCGGAGCACAAGGTTACCTATGTCTCACGAGTCATGAGCAAGCTTAGTAGCGTCTGGAGGATCGGTACGGAGACGTTTGTACTTATCTTCTAGAGGCTATAGAGCTTTAAATTTCACTTCTTTCTTTCTCTATCGTGTGCTTTATTCTTTTAGTGAAGTTTAAACCATTCTATTCTTGTTCTCTCAGAGATGGTAATAACACGCACGACATTTACAGCCATGGAGGAGCCGAAGCCCCCTGTTGCAGCGAGTACCTGCGATAGGGGCCGAGGCAGAGGCAGAGCTCAGCCTAGAGCACGTGCTATAGAGCCTATTGCAAAGCCTTAAACCGAGCATGAGGAGGAGATTCCGGTTCAGACCATACTAGTAAGACCCGCTCAGGTCTCGGAGGGATTCACTGCTACTCCCATATTTCAAGATGCCCTGGTCTGCTTAGTGGGCCTTAAGGAGAGTGTGGCCCTGGCCAGAGTATTTCCTATGGCACCAGCTGCCTCTCAGGCTGGGGAAGGAGCCCAGACTACCACCACTCACACACTGGACTAGATGGCTCCCTTGTACCAGACATCGGCGGTTCTAGCAGCTTGAGTAGTTCAGCATATGGTTACTACACAAACTAGGGAGGGGCCCACAATGTCTTATGAGGGATTAATGAGATTGGATAAGTTCACAAAGCTCTTTCCTATTCATTTTTGTGGTACACCTTCTGAGGACCCACGAGATTATTGGACCTTTGCCACGAGGTGACGCGCAACATGGTTATTGTTGAGTCTAATGGAGTTGGCTTTGTAGTGTTCCAGATTATCGGTCCTTCCAAGAGGTGGTGGCAGGTTATGAGTAGAGCAGAGCAGTTGGTTCACCACCACTAACTTAGGATCACTATTCACAGCTATTTCTTGAGAGGCTCAGTCCCTTTACCCTAAGGGAGGAGTACTACAAAAAGTTTGAGTGTCTTCAGCAAGGTAGCATGACTGTTACCCAGTGTGAGACCATATTTTGTGGACCTAGCCCACCATGTTATATCTTGATTCCTACTGCTAGGGAGAGGGTGAGGAGATTCATTGAGGGTTTTACTTTTGGTATCAAGCCACAGATGGCCAAGGAGACTAGGGATGACATTCCTTTCCAGTGGGCCGTAAAGATTGCTTGACGGATCGAGATGATTCGTTGTCAGGGTAGATAAGCGATACATAAGAAAAGGCCTCGTCATTTTGTGGTTTCAGTTTTTCCTTATTTGAAGGTAGAGGTTCAATTGGTAGTGTCCATCCTCATAGGCCGATTCGCTCAGTGCTTTAGGTACCATACGGCGCTTTGGGCAATCGTAGTTCTTATGGGCCTCGTCCGGAGCAGCTAGCCTACAGTGCACCTTCAGCTCCTATCAGTGCACCACCGCTAAAGATTTACTACAGAGGTTATCCGGTCCATTAGGGTCAGCCTCAGCTTCAGCAACCAAAGCAGCTGGAGAGTGCTTTGAATGTGGAGGTACGGGTCACATCAGGAGGTACTGTCCTAGATTGATGAGCAACATACCATCGCAGGGTTCTCGTGCCATGGTTCCAGCACCGGTTTCTCCACCACCTGCTCAGCCCGCTAAATCGGGGTTCAAGCAGCTAGAGACATTGGTCAGGCCGTTAAAGGTGGAGGCAAGTTAACTAGAAGCCGTCCGAAAGACGGAGGTCAAAGTGGTGGGGCCTAGCCCCATTTTTATGCATTTGCAGTTAGTCTTGTGGCAGAGTCATCTGATACCTTCATCACAAGAATTTTTCTTATTTGCCATAGGAATGCCTCAATTTTATTTGATACGTGCTCTAGTTATTCATATATGTCATCCTATTTTGCTTCATACCTGGTTAAGCCTCGTGGTTCTTTAAGTGCTCCTGTTTATGTATCCACGCCTGTGGGAGATTCTATTATAGTAGATCACGTTTATCGCTCATGTGTGGTTTCTATCAGGAGCTTTGAGACTATGGTAGATCTTCTACTTCTTGATATGCTTGAATTTGATGTTATTTTGGACATAGATTGGTTGTCACATTGTCATATTAGTTTTGGACTGTCATGCCAAGACTATGACATTAGCAATGCTGGGTTGCCTCAATTGGAGTGGAGAAAGACTCCTGGTCATTCCACTAGCATGGTTATTTCTTATATGAAGGTTCGGCCTATGGTTGAGAAGAGATGTCTAGCATATTTGGCCTATATGTGTGAACCTAGTGCGGAGATTCCTTCCATCAAATTAGTGCTAGTTGTACATGAGTTTCCAGAGGTATTTTCTATAGATTTATCCAGGATGCCACCGGACAGAGATATCGACTTTTGTATTAACTTGGCTCCGAACACTCAACCCATTTCCATTCCACCATATAGCCCCAGTTGAGATGAAGGAACTGAACGACCAGTTGCAGGATTTGCTGGATAAGGGATTCATTAGACCTAGTGTCTCGCCTTAGTGTGCACCGGTTTTATTTGTAAAGAGGAAGGATAGTTCGATGAGTGGGCATAGATTATCGGCAGTTGAACAAGGTACTATCAAGAACAAGTATCCATTGTCATGGATTGATGACTTATTTGACCATCTTCGGGGTGCCAAAGTGTTTTTAAATACTGATTTGAGATCTAGCTAACATCAGTTGAAGATTAGGGCGTCGAATGACCTTTAGACAGTTTTTCGGACTCGGTATAACCACTATGAGTTCTTAGTGATGTCATTTGGCTTCACTAATGACCCAACAATATTTATTAATTTGATGAACTGGGTGTCCAAGCCCTATTTAGATTCTTTTGTGATCGTCTTCATTAATAATCTTCTGGTCTACTCCCACAATCGAAAGGAGCATGAGCAGCATCTTTGGATCATACTTCAGACTTTGATGAATAGATAGTGATATGCCAAGATTTTAGAGTGTGAGTTCTAGTCGGATTCGGTATCCTCTTTGGCCGTGTTTTATCTTCCAAGGGCATTAAAATGGATCCTGAGAAGATTGAGGCAAATCAGAACTGGCCTAGACCTACTTTGGCTACAGAGACTCGAAGCTTCCTCGATTTGGCAGGTTAATTTTGCCGGTTCATTGAGGGGTTTTCATCTATTTCAGCAGCATTGACCAAGTTGAACCATAAGGGTGCTCTTTTCAGATGGTCCGATGAGTGTGAGTTGAGCTTTCAGAAGCTCAAGTCTGCATTGACTACATCTCAAGTTTTGGTGTTTCCTACAATTTCGATATCCTACACAGTGTAATGTGATGCATCGCGTATTAGACTTGACGCGAAATTAATGTAGGATGGTAGGGTGATTGCCTACATGTCTCGCAAGTTGAAGATTCATGAAAAGAATTACCTTGTTCATGACCTAGAGTTGGCAGCCATTGCTCACGTGTTGAAGATTTGGAGGCACTATCTGTACGGTTTTCATTCTGAGGTCTATACCGACCATCGGAGTCTCCAGCAGCTGTTCAAGAAGAAAGACCTTAATTTGCAGAAGCAGAGATGGTTATAGTTTTTGAAAGACTAAGATATCACCATATTATATCATCTGGAGAAGTCCAACATAGTGGCCAATGCATTGAGTAAGAAGGCGAAGATCATGGGTAGTTTGGCATATCTACCGGTAGCATAGATTCCACTAGCCGTGATGTTTATGCTTTGGCCAACTGATTTGTGAGATTGGATATTTTAGAGCCCAACCGGGATGTTACTTCTGTTATGGAACGATATTCGTTCTTGGAGTGTATCAAGGATCGCCAGTTTGATGATCCTCAGTTGTTGGTGTGGAAGGACACGGTGCAACGGGGTGGTGCTAAGGAGGTTGTGATCGGTGATGGTGGTGTTATGTGGCTTTAACGCCGGATTTGTGTTCGAATTGTTGATGGGTTAAGAGATTTGATACTTGAGGAGGCGCACAATTAGCGCTATTCTATTGACCGAGGTGTTACGAAGATGTACCGAGACTTGAAACAACACTATTGGTGGCGGTGAATGAAGAAAGACATCTTTTCTTATGTATCTTGGTGTTTAAATTGTCGACGGGAGAAGTATGAGCATTAGAACCCGGGTGAATAAACATAGATATTGGAGATACCAGAGTAGAAGTGGGAGCACTTCACTATGGATTTTGTGGTAGGCTTGCCACAAACCTTGAAGACATATGACGCAATCTAGGTTTTTGTGGACCGGTTGACTAAGTTCGCGCACTTCATTCCGGTGGAGACTTCCTGTTCTTCAGAGTGGTTGGCTTAGATTTACATTGATGAGATTATCCGCGTGTACGGTGTGCCCATTTCCATCATTTTTGACCGAGGCACGCAGTTCACATCATATTTTTTGAGAGCCGTGCAGCATGAGTTCGGCACGCGGGTTGAGCATCAACTGATAAAAGGTACATATCTCACGTTCCAGGAAAACTATCAAAATCTGACAGCCTCAGAGTCAACTTTCAATTAAACTTATGAGCTTTCCAAACCTTCGAATTTTCAACTTTTGTCAATCAGAGCCAAAACATCCTAGCAACCTCCAAATCCGAACATACGCCTAAGTAAAAGATCACCATACGGATTTATTGAAACCATCAAATAACGAATCTGAGGTTGTTTACAACAAAGTCAAACCTTGATCAATTCTTATAACTTAAGCTTCCACAATAAGAGGTGTTTCAATTTACTCCAAAACCTTTACAAACTAATCCAAACCATCCCCGCGTATCACCAAACATCAGGTACATATATGGGGAACATCAAATAGAACAACGAGATGAAAATACACAAAATTACTGATCAAGTCGTTACATGTAGATATCATGATATTTAGCAGGGAAATCGTTCAGGCAGCAAGGCTCCATTACCTAAGCACATCAACATTTAAAAGGGTAAGAATCATTAAAAAATACACAAATAGAGCATCAATCACATAAAAAGGCTATTTATGAAGAGAATATACTAACAACTTGGTAACTCATTGAATCAATTTGAATGAATCCTTTTACAGGATTCATGATGGAATTCAATTCCATCATCTTCATCGTTGTTGCAATCATCATTCTCGTCATCGTCTTGAGATGTCTTCATATATAGCTCGTGATGGATGAAAGAATGATAACAGAATATTTGAGTTTATATAGGGAAGGAATGGGACTGTAGGATTTTTTTATATTTTATAGTAAGTTATTATCAACTTTAATAATATCTGCTTTCGGTCCCCAAATGTATCAAAAATATCAAACTTCTCCATTTGTTTAAACCCTTAAAAATTAGAAAACTTGGGCTAGAGAAAAATTCAAGGATATTCAAATAGGACGGAATGGGAGAAAGCAAATTTTCGTAGACCTCCTAATTTATGAACTTCAATTCTCCAACTTTTAAACAACTTTTATTGGGTACTCTGACGAACATTAGCAAGTTAAGATTTCATCTAGGGTAACTATTTGTTTCACTATATTAGAAAGGATCAACGTAACCTTTCAATATTTTGTATTTTTTATTTATACGAACATTTGTATATGATATTATCCACTGATAACTAATCTCAACTAAACATTCATTTACTATTTTAATGTACATTTCTTCATTTCAATAGGCATATTTTGAGTATAATCACAAATTCAATAGGTCGAGTTCTTAGCTCAAGCGGCTAAATAAAATATTCTGACAAGTTCAAGGGGTCATCAACGATTTGAACATTGCACCCATGCTAGAGAGGACAATTTTATTTGCTTATATTAGATATATATATTACACCGTGGGTACCACTGCACTCTCAACGCATTTACTATATTCACCCATGATTATGAGTTAGAGTTACGCATAGGCGTCGAGCCGGGAGTTTGAAGTTAGAAAAATTAAGGTTTGGAGGATTTGGATGTTTGAGCGAGAGTTGAATTTATTTATATCGGGGTCGGATCTCTATTACAAAAGTTGGAATAGATCCATAATGTCATTATGAGTTGTGTGAAAAATTTAAAATCAATCAGAGTTGTTTCGGTATAAATCGGCATTAGTTTTGAAATTCGGAAGTTCATAAGTTCCTTAGGTTTGAATCGATGCACGATTCCTGGTTCTAGTATTGTTTGATTAATTTGACGCTTCGAGCATGCTTTTATGGTAATTTAGGACTTGTTGGTATGTTTGGTTGAGGTCCCGGGGGCCTCGGGTGTAATTCGAACTATGTTCGGCTCAATTTCGGAACCTTGAGGATTGCCGAAGCTATTGGTTTCTCTACAGGTATGGTTTCCTTCTACGAGTTCGCGAAGGGTGTCCCTCATTCGCGTAGAGTCTTCAGGGGTCACTGGAATTTTACCCTTCGCATTCGCGAAGGTGAAGACTCATTCGCAAAGGTTCTGTGAGTTGTTCATTGCGAACGTGTAAGGATAATCGTGTTCGCGTATAAGAAAGGCAGGTTAGGGCGGGGGGGCTCACACGGTTGGTCTACGCGTTCACATATGAGGGGTCGCATTTGTGAAGGCTTGGGTTCAGTGTTCATCGCGTTTGCGTGGGGGATCTCGCGTTCACGAAGAGGATTTTGGCAGTTGTGCATTTCTGTGCATCGCGAACGCGAGGCACATTCCGCGTTCATGAAGAAGAAATTGTTGGGCAGTAGAATAATGTTTCGAAATTGAGGGTTCTTCTCATTTTTTATATTTTGGATATAGAAAGCTCGGGGTGAGGCGATTTTTTGAGAGATTCTCAGAGTGAGAATTGGGATAAGAATTCCTAACTCAATTTTGGCTCAATTACACGAATCTATCATTGTTTTATCATCAAATTAGGGATTTGAGTTGGAATTTAGGGGAAAATAGTAGAAACTTCCTAGGATAAATTTTTGAGTTTTGAAAGGCGATTTGCAGTCGAATTTTAGTAATTCTTGTATGGTTGGTCTCGTTATCGGATGGGCGTTCGGATTTTGTAATTTCGGTGGGGTTTCGAGACGCGGGCCCGGGTTGACTTTTTGAGTTGCCTTTTTATTTCTTTGTAAAGATCGTACTTTTATTGTTTGAATTAGTTTCCTATAGTTTATATTTAAAGTTTGAAGTTGTTTTGGCTAGATTCGAGCCTTTCAGAGTTGGATATTCGAGGGAAAGGCCTACTAGTTGATTTACTTAGCGTGATTTGAGATAAGTGTCTTGCCTAACTTTGTGTGAGGGAATTACCCCTTCGGATTGGTATTGTTTGTGATAATTGTGATGTGTGGAAGCCGTGTACGTAAGGTGACGAGTGTGTACACGGGCTAAATGTGAAAATTATCAATTTTAGCTATGTAGATTGCTTTTATGCCTTAATTGAGTTATCCGATCATGTTATATTCATCATTGTTAGTCTATATTCACATGTTCTTCTTGTCTTATCTCTTACCTGCTAACTGGTCTATGTGTTTATTTGAAGTTCTTCTTTCCTTTATTCCGTATTCATTATTTAAATGTTGAACTTTTAACTTGAAGTTGTCATTCTTGGAATATTTTATTGTTGAAATTGGTATTGAGTTACAAACACAGTGATACCTATTGAGGCAACGTGTTAAGTTATAACATATCATTCTGTTGAGTTATTGACCTCCGATTGTTATTGTTGAGACTTTGTGTACATTATGATTGAGTCGTGTGCTCCTTAATGTAAAAAATACGGTTATTGTTGATTTGTTTTGGCAATTTGTGGTATTAGACACTTAAGGTGCGATTTGTGGTACGTTGCTGGTAAAAGGTGTTGGGTTAAAACGCATGCAATGAGATAAGGTGGGCTTGATACACGTGGCTAACTACGGAACTACTAGAAGTCATGCGGTGTGATAAGGTGGGCTAAAACGCGGGATACTATTTGGAAAAATGATGTTCAAAAACTAGAATGCAAGGCTCCCGTGGTGATATAAAGAAGGATTGTGAGTTATTCTTGTGATTTGGGACTACGAGGCGGTACCTTGGTAGTGACCCTTGTTGACCTCTTCTCTATTTGCTGTACTTGTCTTTGGTTATTTTGTTTCATTAATATTGCAATCATTGTTTCCTTCCGTGATGTATTATTTGCCCTGATTCTGTATAGTTAAATTTTGGTATACTCCTTAATTGTTTCATTTCCATTATCATTAAATCTTTCATCATGTATCCTATTTTTTACGGTAGGGCCTTGACCTGACCTGCTTACTACTCTACCGATATTAGGCTTAGCACTTACTAGGTACCATTGTGGTGTACTCATTTTTCGCTTCTGCACATCTTTTTGTGCAGATCCAGGTACCTCCTATCAGTCCCAGCACTAGTGAGCTGAGTTCGCATTTGGAGACATCAAGGTATACTTGCCCATGTCTACAGGCCTCGGAGTCACCTTCTATCCATTTCTATATTATTCCTTCTTTACTATATAGAGTTGTATAAGGATGACTTTGATACTGTTGTAAAGCTTGTAACTCGATATCGCCAGATTTTGAGGAAATTGTATACACTGAGTGCAGAGTTTCGTTATGTTAAATGTTAAGTATTTGGGAGTTAATTGTCATTTCATTTATATTCCGCACGCTTGCTAGTCTTACCTAGTCTTAGAGACTAGGTGCCATCACGACACCCTACAGAGGGAGATTGAGGTCGTGACAAGTTGGTATTAGAGTTGTAGGTTCATAGGTGCTAGGAGTCACAAGTAGGTTTAGCAAAGTCTCGCTGATCAGTATGGATACTTGTGTACTTGTCTTTGGGAGGCTATGGAACTGCTAGGAAAAGCTTCATTTCTTTGAATCCTTATTGTGCGATATTGTTGACTTCAAAATTCTAAATATTTGTCTTTCTATTCTCTCACGGATGGTGAGGACACGCACAACTGGATCGGATGATCAGACACCCGCGCCCCCTACTAGAGCCGTGAGAGACCGGGGCCAGGGTAGAGGCAGAGGACGGGCATTGGTGCATCTAGAACACCAGCCCGAGCTGCTACAGAAGAACCATAAGTAGCTCTAGTTTGAGGATAGGCATGTGAGGCGCATGTTACTTCCCTAGTGACTCAGAAGACCCTCGCCTAATTTTTGAGCATGTTTGGCTCTCTAGCTCAGGCAGGGTTGATCCTACTTACTCCTGCCACATCTTAGGACGGGAGAGGAGAACAGACTCGCGGTTCCCGTACCCTAGAGCAGCGGGTCCAGGTTGACCAGGTTCTAGAGGTTATACTAGTATAGCCGGTCGCCCTAGATCAGCCCGAGGTTCGGGCAGCAACTTCTAAGGAGGAGCAGCTCAGGATCGAGAGGTACAAGAAGTACCACCATCATACTTTCAGCGGTTTGGCATTAGAGAATGCCCAGGATTTTCTTAAGGAGTGCCACTGTATCTTCTGTGCTGTGGGTATTATGGAGTCGAGTGGGGTTACATTCACTACGTTACAGCTTAAGGGAGCGGCTTATCAGTGGTGGCAAGCGTATAGGTTGGGTAATCCGGTTGACGCAACTTCACTCACTTGGGCTCAGTTCTCAGATATGTTCATAAGAGTGTTTCTTCCCTAGTGTCTTAGGGATGCATGGCGCGTAGAGTTTGAGCAGTTGCGCCAGCGTGCTGTGACCGTATCGGAGTATGCAGTATGGTACAGTGATTTGTCCAGGCATACACCAGCCTTGGTTGCTACTGTCACAAAGTAAGTTCGTCGATTTATCGAGGGGCTCAACCCTGGTATCAGATTCAGCATGGTCCGAGAGTTAGGATGGATATCCAATACCAGCAGGTAGTGAAGATTGCTAGGATATTAGAGAGGGAGGACAAGAGGCCTCGAGATTCTGGCACATACAGTGGTGCCCATGCCCCAGTTATAGCCCGTTATCGTAGAGGCCATGTGAGCCACCCTGTTCATTTAGCACTTCTAGTTTCCAGTGATATTCCGGGGACTCCCAAGCCTCAGGTTCCCCATTGTGCACGGCCATTGTCTAGTGCACCACCTATACGGGGTTCTTTCAGTAGCAGTCCAGCCGACCAGGCTCGAGCCAGTTCCCGAATCCACGTCCTTCAAGGGATTCTTTTGAGTGTGGTACACTCCTCATATAGTGAGGGATTGCCCTAGACTCAGGAGGGGCACCTCCACGGACTACTTAGGCCCCACGTATTCCACAGGGCCCTCAAGCTTCTCAGGCCGTAGTTA